TTATAAGTAACTGCATTTACTTTTCATACTACCTTTATGAGGGGAGTGATATGATCCACATTGACACATGTGGCAGAGAGAATTGTCCAGGGAAAGAGGACCACGAAGTGTCAAAACGAGCATATACTCAGGTAAGAATGATGACTACACTGCTCCTCTTTACCACGAGGCGAACCCACTCTGTCCTACATGGGGCGGGTGCCCCTTAGAGAAGCAGGTAACACAAATCTGATGCATATCCTCTTCGTCCCCGAGCCTCCACTAATGTCTGACTCCCAAGAAAACCATGAATTACTAGAAAGATCTATCTACACTCAAGTCAACCAAAGCAAATATGTTTAACCCTAACAGTACTGTCATTCATTTGGGTTACATCAGCTGTAAATGAGGTGACTTACATCTTTAGTTCCTGTGGGCTGTTATGGGAATCTGAAGACCGCACTCCGGTCGGTGGTGCTCCCGGACCCCTCGCTGTTGTTACAGGGCTGTGGGGAGGGTGGGCACACCCTGACCCGCTGGATTTGAATTCGAAACTTCCGCCACTTACTGTCTGTGGGGCTTGAACAAGTTACTTAGGCTCTTGGTGCTTTCAACTCCTCATTTGTAAAAGGGACATAATAACAGTATTCCCTTAATGGGAGTTGTTTTGAAGATGAAATGAATTAATATATATTGTATTACAGTGCTTGGCACATGAAAAACCCTCAATCAATGTTATCAATTTTTATTTTGACCATGGTTGTTGTTGTTATTTTTTTAATATTTTATTTCTTTTTTAATTTTGTTTTAGAGAGAGGGGAAGGGAAGGAGAAAGAGACAGAGAGAGAAACATCAACATGTGGTTGCCTCTCATGTGGCTCCCCACTGGGGACCTGGCCCACAACCCAGGCATGTGCCTTGACTGGGAATCGAACCGAGACCCTTTGGTTCGTTCACAGCCCGAGCTCAACCCACTGAGCTACACCAGCCAGGGCTGTTGTTATTATATTTAATATTATGTGTTATGCTAATTATCACTCCCCCCCCGTTGGGAGGGGGGAACTAAATGTGCTTATAGCAGTGTGTGTCCCTGACTCTTCCAAACAAGGGAAGACAGATACAGGGGTTTTTTTTGTCCAATTTTAACAAATATTCACTTAGTTCCTTAACTACAGGCAATACACTCTACCAAAGGTGACTGGGAGAAGGTCACTTCCTCATTCTTGAAAGAGAGATGCAGGATGGTCATGGCTTCACCTATAGGAACTCAGTAAATAAGACAGAAATAGAAACTCAGTGGGGCTGGGCTTAAAATGGACCTTCTAGTAGAGAAACCCCACCATGTTACTTTGCTATTCAGCTCCTGGCCCGACACGGACTGGCTCCAGCAGTAGTCTGCAGGGAGGGCCAGGAGTCACAGCCTCCCAAGTTTTGTTAAACAAACAAACAAAAACCAAAATAAAACCATTCCTCTTACATCTCTTCTACATATTGCATTTTTCCCTAAGACGACTTGATCAAAGTTTCAATTTGGTAAACAAAGGCTGTAAAAACCTTGTAAAGTCCTAGCCACAGCATTCAATTCCTTCACGACCTGGCCTAACTTGTCCAGATTTATCTTGTGCCGCCAGGTCCTTAGCACTTTTTAGTCCGTAAACTCTGCAGTAGTTCCCTGAAAATGCTCCGCACTCTCCCAACCTCCACGCCTTGGTACAGGCTCTTTCCTCGGCCAGGAGTGTCCTCGTGTGATGGTCCCCCTAGGCTTAATTACTACCCCTCAGTGTCCAGCTGGGAAGGACTCCCCAGAAGGTGACAAAATACAGAAATTCCCCATAGTTATTTCAGAAAATAAAAGAACTTCAAAGACCTAGCCTGAGTTTAAGCACTAATTCTGAAGCAAGTATTAGCAAATTTGGAAGTGTCTCAGATCTAAAACCAGAAGGACACAAGCATTATATTCAATTCCATCTGTGGCTATTTTCTATTAAAAAGAGAGAGAGAGAGAGAGAAGTAATATAGAATAAAAACAATAATTTAAAAATTGATTTCAAGCTATGGCTTTATCAGTTTCATTACAATAAACTATAGTAACTTTGCAGTAAATCATTGCAAACAATTAACAAAGATGACCTTTGAGAATTCATTTCAGTTTTTAACAGAGCAGCTATAATGAGCACAATTAGAATAATTGGTAAGAAGCTTCTGCAACATTCCATAATACACAAAAGACAACATGGCAAAAAGAAATAGATTGTTTTCTGAGGACACCACATGAGTTTCACAAAGGAAATCTTATGTTGACTGTCATGCACAAGGGGGTGACACAAAAGTCATTTGATGCTGTATCAGATGCCATGGGAATAAGAAAACCATTTCCTGATGTGTATCCATGTTTGCCTTTGTAAAGGGTCAGTGGTTACATAATGGCCAATGATGTGCCTAAATCAGGAAAACTATCAAGCCCTTTCAACAGGGGTTCCCCAAGAGAACTAAGCCAAAATAGTATAAAGACTCCATTGTATGCATGACTCTCCTATGCACTGAGAATGCCGTTAACTTTGTACCATCCTTGGGAGAATCAGTTAAATAGTCTCTCAAGTCATTTTTTTATAAGGCTTAGTTGCCTTGTGAAACCCAGTATAGAGAGGATAACTAACATTCCTTAAACTGAAAAAACATAATCTGGGATAAATAGTTGTATAACTATTTTGATCCCAAGCAAAGTGGTCTAGTGAAGGTAAGTGGTTCATCAAGCAATTTAAAGCCTCACAACTAGAATCAGAAGCAGGAAAAAGCAATGTGCAGTACTCCCAACTCATACTTTGTGCACCAATATACAACTTTTGCACCAATATACAACTTTGTGCACACTTGTGCCCTGAGATTAAGGATGTCAACAGAATTTAACGTAGTTCCACAGAACCACACAATAAAGTTTTATAGCACAAATGTCTTGGACTTCATCCATAACCAATAGCTGTTAAACTGCCAAGGGCATTGCATTTTGTGGAGCTCCTATTCACTGCAAGGAAAATACAGTAGTAGGACTTCAGCAGAATAGCAAAAGAAATTTTAATTTGCTCTGTGGTGGGAGTTTTGTAAAAGGTTTACACATTTATAATGGGTTTATAGGTACAGCTAATAGTACCTGATCTTGATCTTCGTGTCAGACCCTGCCAGGTGACCATACCAGTATCCGTTCTCCCTTTATTCCTAGTAGAACCCAGATTTTGAACTGCACACATTGGTAGAATGAAAGACTACATTCCCCAGCTTTCCTGAACCAAGCAGAAATGTGTAGAAAAGATTTCACTGGACAGGGTTCCCTTCTACACCCTTCAGCTATCAATGCCCCCACCTTTTCTTCTGCCTGCCAAAGAAAATGATCGATGGAAATCTGACAACCACCTTCAACCATGCATTAGAATGATGCGGTAGAAATATAAAAATATTCTTCTACTCTGCTGCATTGCTGCCCCACATCCCTGGGCTCTCCACTCTCAACTCCTTTAACATGACAGAGCAAGATACTTCCATCATGCATAAGCCTCTGTTATCTTGAGTTTTCTGTTTCAAGTGGCAGAAGGTAAACCTAATTAATATAATCTACATGCAGCTTCTTATTCAGCAAAGGTCAGATGAATTAAGAAACTAATTGGGATTAAATATTTGAACTTGGTTTGCAACCTCTGAAATTTGAATAATACATTAAGGACAAATAAAAGAAAGTATTTTTAAGTGCTAATAAACATATGGGGACATCTTTTTTACTTGTTAAAATGTATATAATTTTTTTCTTCTTTTTAAACATTTTGTTAAATTTATTTTTTTGAGAAAGGGGAAGGGAGGGAGAGAAACATTAATGTGTGGTTGCCTCTCATGTGGCCCTTACTGGGGACCTGGCCCACAACCCATGCATGTGCCCTGACTGGAAATTGAACCACTAACCCTTTGGTTCACAGCCTACACTCAATCCACTGAGCTACACCAGCCGTGGCAAAATGTATATAATTTAAAGAGGAATTCATATCAATAATAAGAAATCAGAGAAATGTGTGGTATAAATGAAAATTAGTATTATGGTAGATAACATACCATATAATATATACTATCAAGGGTAACAAACTGGGCCAGAAAAAGTATAAATGGAAGTCAGGCATGCAGATAATACCATGTGCCTTTTTTAAAATTTGTATATTGGTTCTTGATACCTTTGTGTGACTAATTCATTCTATGTCTATTTACACTAAGTAATCCACTACTGGACCCAATGGAAGACTGGTCTTACAGCAGACAGACATCTTAGAAAAATTCCCAGGACAATAGAAAATTATTAACATGCTTTTGATGTCCAGGGAGTCCTTTCAAGTCTGATTTTTGCTCAATACTCTTGCAAAGGCATTAACATATTTTAAATAGACTCAGCAGAAAGGATTGAAAGCATAAGATTGTATTTCAAACAAAGTCTATTCCTTAGATTGCTTTTGATCATCCAGGCAGAAATTTTGTTTCAGTGTTGCTCTAAATAAAAATAAGAATTTGTGGTTATTGTTATTATTTGTTCAATAATATTTTAGGAGGAAAATTGTTATGCTAAATAGTAGGACTTTAGAGCTACCCAAAGTCTCATCTATTCCAGTGTTAGGTGGACCTTTGGGAAAAACATTAAGACCCATCTCTTCTGTGTAATCTCAGTATTATTCTTTTAATACCTTCAAATCCTTGTTCTGTATTCATATGCAAATGCACTCCATTGTGCTCATGTAAATTATCAGCACACATTATTTATTCTTCACTCTAAATACCTAAGGCAGTATGTAGGTATCTAATTTAACTAGAATGGTTTACCCACAGTCTTCTCTATCAGCTATTGAATACTCTTACTTCTTCATGTTAAGCACAAATGGGGACAGATCTTAGATGTTTAAAAAGTTTTTATTTCTGAAAATCAGTGTTTTCTATCCCTACTTTTTCTATTACAAATATATAGCTATTGAGAAGGCAAGATAAAGATACATTACCCCTGTGACATCCATAACCTTAATGGCAGCAAGCTGGCCTGTTTTGACATGACGACCCTGTATGAAGAAAAGAAAATAAAGACTTTAGTTCTGATATACAACATGATCATTGATTTCCAACCATGAAGAACAATATCACCTAGATTAACGTTACAGAATGACAACAGGGAAGACATATGAACAGACATGCACAGGCACACACAGATATTAAATGGTTTGAAGATCAATTTCTATTTAGTGTTTATTTTGTAAAACATCTCCATCACTTTGTCTTTGGGCCTTATTTTCACAGTGGCTGTCAAGTTAAATAAAAAAGGCAACGTTGAGTCATTTGGTTCTAGCTCCTCTCCAAAGTGTCAGACCAGGGCTTGAGAGCGAGGTGGATTTATGTGGAAGGGGAGATGGATCTGGCTGGAGGAGATACAAGTATGACCTCTGCTAGAAAATACTCAGCAAGTGAAGAAACTTTAGTTTCCTTGGTGGTTAAAATATCTTGTAATGGTCTCAACTGGTTGTTTGTGCTTTTGTTTTTGTTTTAGTAACTGCCATCATGGCATTGAAGGTAACAATGGAAAAGAAAATAACCTGCTTCTCCATTTTAAATTTTGCTTGCAAGCTGAAATAACAGTTCTCAATGGGTCTGACTGAGGAATACACCTCTGGGATGGTAGCTTCAGCTCAAATGAGCTCCTGGAGATGAAACAATTAGCAAGCCTCAGCGGAGTCCCAGGCACAGGCATGCCCAGTGCTCTGCCAGGGAAAGCGGCTGAGCTGTCAACCTCTGACGAGGGGAGGGCCACAAGGAGGCAGCCCAGCTGGAGTTGCTTTTACCTCACCGGAGAATGTCAAACCAATTAGGATCCAGATTGAGGCAGACTTGGAGGGACTGGCCGGGAGTTAGCTGACCTCAAGATCACTGGAAACCCAAGGCAACTTCATAAAATCGCAAATGAATGGCATGTGAAGAGCTCTCCAGGCGCTTAATCCAATGCCCTTCTTTGCAGAGGTGAGGTGAATCTCACAGCCAGGACGTAAGCCCAGGACACCTTCTCCTCTGTCCCACTTCTGCCACCCACATCCTGCGTCAGAAATTCTTATCGCTGAAATGTAAATGTAATTTTTAAACAAGCTTTCTTTTCATATTTTACTCAAGTTGAGTTAAACATTGAAACATTCATCTCTATTTCACATAGGATTTTGTTACTTTAAAATTTTTTACAGATTTTATTTATTTATTTTTAGACAGAGGGGAAGGGAGGGAGAAAGAGAAACATCAATGTGTGGTTGCCTCTCACATGGTCCCCACTGGGGACTTGGCCCGCAAGCCAGGCATGTGCCCTGACTGGGAATTGAACTGGTGACCCTTTGGTTCACAGCCCGTGCTCAATCCACTGAGCTACACCAGCCAGGGCTGTTAATTTAATTTTTTGATTTGAGGGCAAAGCCACAAAGAAGGATATTATTATTATAGGAGAACTTTGAAGTGAAAATTTAATATTACTCCTGATTTAAGTTACTCCCATTCATAAGAGAAATGAAAAATACTAACCTGAACTCCATCTCAGTTTAGGTCTAAAATACATATTCACACAAGGACTAAAAATTAAATTCTAGGGGTGGAGGGAACCTCTCAAGGGAGACAGAGTTAAATATATTTTTCTTACAAAAATTAGGAAAAAATCCTGTCAGGTTGCAGTTGCTGAGTCACTTCTTAATAAAAGAATAAAGATTTTCTTACTGAAATAACGAACAATAGCAAAAATAACAGACTAAATCTAGAAAAACAAAACTGAAATTCCAGGAAGGCTTTAAGCCTCACGTCCATCACAGCCTCAAGAATCAAAAGCTCATCCACCAGAAAAGAGAAAGAAGCTTATGAAACAGGAAAGTGCGGCTGCAAGGTCACTGGCGCTGGCCGGCACAGGGCAGCCCAGGTCTCTGACACACCCGCAGACCCTCCCCGCCCCCTTTTCTTCTTTTCTACCTCATGTTTGGGGGAAAGAACTGTGCTGACTCGTGTTTCATAAAGAGTCACTCAACATCCAGGTGAAGTCTAAACCGGTCAGGGATACAATCCTCTGTCTCTCTGCCCCCCTCCCTAACATGAATTCGGAAGAAACACAGTGATTTTGTTCGAAATAGCCATGAAAGCCCCTGCTTTGTTATTGCTGTTATTCATTTTCTCAGGAAGAGCAAGATGGCTTCAGAGCTGCCGGCCTGAGGCAAGCCTGGGAGAAAGAGTACTTTCATTTCTAGGTCACTGAAATGGATTCGTTTCCAGCAGAGCACAGGAGCAAACGAGGCCGAGGAAAATGCAGACACGCCACCCCACCACCTCCTTCCCGGTCCAAGGACTCGCACACAGGCAGAGTGTTTAAGCTCTTCGCGCTTAGCTTAGATTAGATCTAGCCTTTATTTATTGAGGAAGATTTCTTCAATTTCCTGGTTGCAGCTGATGGCCCCACCTTTGTGTTTCCACAGTGTTCTACACTAACACCACCGATCATATCCAACACTGATTTTCAAAATGTGCATCACCAGCATCCTAAAAATCAATCAACTTGAGTAGAAAAAAATCCACAATCTAGAACACGTAGCAGAGGCAGTGGTTGTTTCCCAAATCAAATGCACAGTTACAGCCATCCATCCACCCACCCGCCCATCTGTAACTGATGCTGTAGTATACCACCCAGACTTAATACTGAAGTGCCCTACAGCTGTCAGCCAAGGCCTTTCTGGTAATTGCTCTCTGCCAAAAGAGCACTGCCCAAGGTCATACTCCCTCCTAAAGAAAACAGCATCCAATGACAGGAATATAAAAGCCCAGCCCTCTTGTTTTAGAGCAGGGCTGACCTCTCAGAGGGATGGCTGAGGGCTTTGTTGAGACTGCATTGCAGCTAAACTATTTCCTCTGCACAACTGTACTTTCTTCACAAGTGTAGATCCTAAGAACAGTCCCCACTGAAATTCTTACATATAAATCTCCAAATTCGAATATGTTTCCAGGGGAACCCCCCTTAGACAGTTGGTTCCAGGAATGGTCCAAAGACGCAGGCTCTCAGAGAGGCTGTCAATGAGACCCTTATTACTGGTGACAGGTGGCTTACTGATTGCCCCTGGCATACTGTAGCAGTGTCACTGCCAAATGTTCAGTAGTGGGGAACAGGAGTAGGATACAGGTGCCAGGGAATACACTAGTGAGTCTGATATTTCAGGCTTTAAGAGGTCCAGAAGAAATGTAAGTTTAAAACAATGGAATCATGGCTTTTGTTGAGAATCACTGATGTACTGGAGAAAGACAATGAAAAGCTAAGGGTGATTAATGATCAACTGAAGGCAATGCTGGAAAGGTATAAGGGGGATGAGGTTAAATCCTGAGAGCTGTGTAGTGTCTTCAGAGATGACGGGGAATATAACTTCTAAAGCCTCAGAGTGTTCAGGGGGACAGGGGTTTTCAGCTTTTAAGTGCTTAAAACTTGGATGTCTCCATTGCAACTTTCAGAGTCTCATTACTTCCCAGCCAGGCTGTAGTTGAGAATTAAACCTTTTCTTCTACCCTGATAATTAATTCTTGGGTGTGGTCCTCACCTTTTTCTACTCTGGCTGCAGAAGATACAAGTCTTTTTATATGCTACCCAATATTTGTGGTAAATAAACAACAGCAGCAAGTCAAGCCTAAGAAAGTCACGCTGAATTCAGATGTCTCAGAAAGGAGGGTCTGGGTCATCCCAACATCTGCCATACAGACCAGCAAAGATGCTAACCGACACAGTCAAATGGGTAGTACAGGAGGGAGATAATGAACACCAATTGCAACAATCAGACATCATGAAATGGTGAGGGCTTATAACTTTCCTAGGAAAAGTATCAGCCAGAATCCTAGAGAAGCTGTTTCCAGAACTTATTATACAAAGCAAGTGGACCCAGGCTACACAAGAGACAGACTGCAGTATACACTGTAGTGTGCCCCCTTGATCCCTCCTTCAAAACTGAGGTTCTCTGAGTCACTGTCCAGAAGTTTGCCTTAGCCAAACACAGAAGCTAGACTCAAGGGCACGCTTCCTGCCTAAAGTAACGTGCTTTACCTGGAGCAGCAAGCAATCGATGACTCACTGAAGTAGGAATATAAAAGCACACATCCCTTATATCAGAGTGGAATAATTTTGAAGGGCCACACCAGCACCAGAGGTCCTTTTTGGGGGATTTGCCTGGGGCTTTTGTAACTTCATTCAATGCCTTCTGCTACCCAAAATCTGCCCTCCCTCCTCCACAGGTGTTGATACAGAGAGCGCTCCCCAAAAGACTCCTACAAGCAAATCTGTCCTCAGAGTCTGTTTCCTAGGGAACTCAAAGAATCTGCCTATTTATCTACCTACCTATCTATTAGTGTGTGTATTCTTGATATTAATGTAAAATATATTTCTTACTGGATCTGGGGTAAGAGCTGTAAGAAAAGCTCTGGCCTAAACAATGAATAGAGCAAACTAGTTCAAGCATTGCGAAGTACACTCCAGACAAAAAGAACACCATGTTCGAACGTCCTGGTGTATAGTTTTCAGAGCATCTGAGTGACTGACGGCAGGCCAGCGTGGCTGGAGCAGAGAGCAAGTGTGGAGCAAGTCCACGTAGGGCTTCACAGGCACTTTGAGGAGGTCTTTATCCAAGGCCAATGAGATGCCACGAAAAAGTGTGAAGCCAGGGTATAGAGGGCTCAAGTTTGCATTTTGAAAAGATTGTCCTAGAGGCAAGTCAGAGAACAGAGGAAAGCAGAAAAGGTGACAGAAAAATAAAAACTGGAATGCTATTTAGTAATTCATTTGAGACATAATGGCAACTTGCACTAGGATAAAAGTTATGGAGAAGGTGAAGAGTAGTAGGCAGAGTCAAAAAGAGATACTCAGGAGGTCAATTCAACAGGATTTGAGAATGAATCAGATACATATTTACCCCATGCTTCCCACAGTGCTTCACATAGTAGGGATTCAATAAATATTTGCTAGGTGGTAGACTGAATGAAGTAGTGAGATTTGAGGATTGTATTCAGGTTCTCGGTCAAT